GAAGAACCATATTTGAGTTTACATAAAGAATAATGAATTTGAGAGGAAGAAAACGAAAAACAAAATTAAATGGGATCCATTTTGTTAATATTTTTGAAACGTTAAGTTCATGCAAAAAAAAAAGATAAATAGAGAAGATTGTGGGTCCTATTTGTTGGGATATAATTTGTTGTTGTGTGGAAAAGCTAACTGAGTATATGATAGTTTGAGTGTTAGTTAGCAAAAGACCACCTTAGGAGTACAAACTGTCTTAAATTGAAATAAAAAAAACTTAAAATTGTCTTTTGATGAATTTTTTCTTTTTAGTATCTATTTTTGTGATAGAAAATTTAAAATGGTCTATTTGAAAGAATTGCTCTATTTCCTTTTTTTTTTGAATGAAAATTGCCCTATTACTTTTCTAATAATTTTAACTTTGAAATTTGAAGTTACTTATTTTTTATTTATTTTTTTTGTCAGCGAAGTTACTTATTTATCAAAGATTTTCTGTTGTTTTCTTAAGACCATTGTTTTACAGATGATATTGTAAATAATTTTATTTATATTAGATATTAATTTGTGGGAAGTGTTGTGATACATAATTATTTTGTAAATAGTAATGCAAATGGCTTTCATTTACAGAAAGTAAATCAAGTATTGCAAAATTTTGACTTCGAGTTATAATTGTTATGCAAATTTGTGGATTAGTTATTTTATCTAAATAACGGTTATTTATAACTCTGTGTGTTATGGAATAATTATGTAGCAAAATTAAAAGTTATGAAAGGCTTGGAAGGAGATCTTTAATTCTTAGTGGTGTTGTTGGCATGATATGTCCTCTGCCTTTCATATACTTTGTCTTTTCTTTGTGAACTGAATCAAAATCTACTACAAGGGAGGTACTGTAGATATAGAGGATTCAATGCTTAAAGTTTCTTCATTTGATATGTTAAATGTCGGACACATTGTCTCATTATTCCTGATGGGTATATTATACTACATATTTTTCAGCACCTAACCAGTGTTGATGTAGTTGCATTGCTGCTCTATGTGGGCTGTCACCAGGTAAGCAAAATAACTTACTGGAGCTTTGTTGATCAAACTTGTGTTCCATGACATTTACGTTTGTCCTATAAGTAGCAGCTGAAGTTGGACGTCTTGTAAATAAGTGTTTTCGTCTGAATAATCTTGCAGCTATCATTTGCTCCGATTGGTTGGCTAATGAATGATCTCGATAATAGTTGCACCCAAACTTAGTAGATTATTCATGTTTCTAAGACTTGATTTTCA